GTTTTCTTCAGCCAAAGCCTAATCCAGAGCAAGGCCATAACTCTCTTCAATTCTATGAAAGCTGAAAGAGGTAAAGAAACTGCAGATAAAAGGATTGAAACTAGCAGAGGTTAGTTCATGAGGTTTAAGGAAAGAAGCTGTCTTCATGACATGAAAATGCAAGTTGATGTTGCACATGCTGATTTAGAAGCTGCGGCAAGTTATCCAGAAAATATAGCTAAGGTCATTGATAAAGGTGGCTACACTAAACAACAGATTTTCAGTGTAGACGAAACAGCCTTCTATTGGAAGAAGAGCCATCTAGACCTTTCGTAGCTGGAGAGAAGTCAATGTTTGGCTTCAAAGCTTTAAAAACAAGCTGACTTGTCTCGTAATAGGCTAACATAGCTGGTGACTTTAAGTTGAAGCCTATGCTCATTTGCCAATCCAGAAATCCTAGGGCCCTTCAGAATTTTGCTAAATCTACTTTACTAGTGCTCTATAAATGGAACAGCAGAGCCTAATGACAGCACATCTCTTTATACCATGGTTTACTGACTATTTTAAGCCCACTGTTGGGACCTACTACTCAGAAAAAAAGATTCCTTTCAAAATAATACTGCTCATTAACAATACACCTGGTCACCATAGAGCTCTAATGGAGACGTACAAAGAGATTCATGTTTTCATGCCTGCTAACATAACATCCATTCCACAGCCCGTGTATCAAGATATCATTTCAACTTTCAAGGCTTAATATTTAAAAAATAAATTTTGTGAGGCTACAGCTGCCATAGATAGGGATTCTTCTGATGGATCTGGGCAAAGTAAATTGGAAACCTTCTGGAAAGGTTTCATCAGTCTAGATACCATTATGAACATACATGATGATTCGTGGGAGGAGGTAAAAATAGCAACATTAATAGTAATTTGGAAGTTGATTCCAACCCTCATGATGACTTTGAGAGGTTCAAGACTTCAGTGGTGGAAGTAATTGCAGATTTGGTGGAAGTAGCAAGAGATCTAGAACTATAAGTAAGGCCTGAAGATGTGACTGAATTGCTGCAATCTTATGATAAAACTTTAACAGATAAGCAGTTGCTTCTTACAGATGAGCAAAGAAAGTAGTTTCTTAAGATGGCATTTATTCCAGGTGAAGATGCTGTGAACATTGTTGAAATGACAACAAAGGGTTTAGAATATTACATAAAAAGCAGCATCTTTATCAGCAGGGATTGAGAGGACTGACTCCAATTTTGAAAGAAATCCTACTGTGGGTAAAATGCTGTCAAACAACATTGCATGCTACAGAGAAATTTTTCATGAAAGAGTCTATTGATGCAGCAAACGTCATTGTTCTCTTATTTTAAGAAATTGCCATTGCCGCCCCATTCTTCAGCAACCACCACCCTCATTAATCAGCAGTCATCAACACTGAGGCATGACCCTCCACCAGTAAAAAGATTATGACTCGCCAAAGGCTCAGATGATTGTTAGCATTTTTTAGCAATAATGTAACTTTTATGTTTTTTAGACATAATGCTATTGCACCTTTCAGAGACTACAGAATAGTGTAAACATAGCTTTTATGTATACTGGGAAACCAAAAAATGTGACTCACTTAATTGCAATATTGGCTTTATTGCAGTGATCAGGTTATGCCTGTACATACTAGCTTTTCCACTGAGGTGGATTATTTTTTATGACTGATAACTTTGGTCATGTCGGTAAACAGGGAGTAAGATTGAAGAAGACCAAATTTCCACCATTCTGCCTCTGATAGCAACTAGAAACCCAAGTGACCAAAGATGTGCTTCTCTGACCACATTAGAAAGATTCTGAATTTGATTTTTGGAGGTGGATGACATTGAGATTTATGCTTTTTATTTTTATAAATAAATATCTAGAATAGTATAAAATCAATGCCTTAAAACTTCCCTAATCCTTTAAGGAAGAATCAAAGCAAAAGTTATAAAGTATCTCTTCTTCCCCTTACTTCAGCGTATTAGCCTCGTTCCCACTTAGCTATTGCTTTATAGGTGGCTGATTTTGGTAATGAAAAATTAGTTAGACATGCCCAGATAATGGTATCTAATCTATTTAAGATTTGGGTTATCCAGAGAATATGTTTATGTTTTTATAATTATGTTTTCTGTCCTAGGCTGAGACAGATAACTTCGACCATTATACTAATGCTTATGCTGTGTTCTATAAGGATGTCAGGGCTTACCAGCAGCTATTGGTAGAACGTGATGTTATTAACTGGGACCAAGTTTTTCAAATACAAGGTGAGGGCAAGTGTAAGACAAACATTATGCAGTCATTTGTTTCCTCCTCTTTATCATATGTATCAGATACAGATAGATATTTCATTTATATGAGAGATATATACAGATATATACACATGCATATATATATATATATATATGCACAAACACATACACATACATTTTATGTATGAATTTTTGTGTATTATAGTGTTATAAGAACACTTGTTACTCCTAATGAAGCTTGGCCTTCAGAGTAGAGCAGGCTATTTAAATGGAGCT